ATGGCCACATTGCCATACCTGAGTTGCTGGCCCCTACATTTGTCAAGCAGTTCCATGAAGGAACTCATTCAGGGTGAATAGCCCTTGAGACTACTCTTGCCCTGCATTTTATGTCCCCAAGCTGTCCAGCATAAGGCAGTATGAGAGAGATGTAGCCTTGTGCTAAAAATAACCCCAGACAAGGGCTAAAAGCACCTCCCCTGGCACAGAGTATTGGTAGAACTCCTGTTGAAAACTTGATCGTGGACTTCCCTGAAATGCTGTGAGTTCGAGGATGCAAATATCTGTTGGTGTTTGTTTGTTCCTTCTCAGGATGGGTGGAAGCCTTCCCCACATGGACTGAGGTGGCCAGATGTCTGTTAAAGGAAATCATTCCCCAGTTTGGAATACCTGTGTCTACTGAGTCAGATAATGGGCCAGCCTTTGCAGCAGAGGTGGTACAGCTAATGGCTAAGGGCTAAGGAATCACCTGGAAGTTGCATATGGCCTTCCGCCCCCAGAGTTCAGGAAAAGTGGAGAACATGAAAAGAACCCTAAAATCAGAGTTAGGAAAATGGTGTCAGGAGACCCATCTGCAGTGAGATCAATTACTGCTCATAGCATAACTAAGGATTAGCTCTAGTCCCACGAAATAGGCAGGGCTTTCACCCTTTGAAGTCCTTTAAGGATGCTCGTCCCCCGTAATCAAGGGCATAAGTGGGGAACCTTAAGGAAATAGGTGACCTCACCTTGAGGCAGCAGATGCAGGCCCTTGGGTTGAATCTCTCAAAGATCAATGACTGGGTCCAGGAGAGACCTCCTGTCAGCCTGACAACTCCCATACACCCTTACAGGCCAGGGGATGCTATCTGGGTAAAGGAATAGAATGTCCAACCATTAAAGCCTCACTGGAGAGGCCCCTTGTTGTTATTTTGTCTACCCCTATCACAATCAAAGTAGCAGAGATAGCTCCTTGGCTCCACTACAGCCAAGTCAAGCCAGCTTCTCGAGTGGGACTGCATCCCCAATCCAGCTTTGCCATGTAAAACACTCTCCAGAACATCAGCGCCCTCCCTCAGCAGGACTCTACTTCCTGGGAAAGAACAGGGGACCACAAACAACAAGACTACATCCCTGCAGTAGTCACTTCAGAAACTGACTAGTCTACACACAGAAGCATAAGGAATCAACTGTCTAACAGGATGGAACTGTTTCTATGTCAGTAATTCTAGTGTAATGTGTTGTCACCCCCTATCTGTATCTGTTGCTGTAGTTCTCACCCTAATCTTCCCCACAGATTTGGCAGAAACCACCCCCACCAACTAGACTCACAGTGAAAAGTTTTCATTAGCTCTCTTCTACCTCTTTAGGGCAGGATGCAAAATTACTGTTTATTATTACTGATGTGGTTTCCCTTGGTGGTCCCAGAGGCCTTCTCCTGTGACCTATGTATGCATTCTACTCAGGCAGGAAGTGTTGTCACCAGGACTTTGCTTTTCCATACTTTCTATTCCTGTGCAGGCACCACCATCAGGTCATGCACTCACAATCGAATCATCTATTCAGTGTGTTCCCATGGTAATCGGCATGTCTGTTTCAGCCCCACCTACAGCCCTCGAGGTTGGAAGTCCGGAGATTTGACAACACTATCAGGGGAGGAATTAGGGACCTCATTAACCATACCCAGGTATTCGACCTTGATAAACCAGTATCAATGTTTTCTGATGTATGTGCAGTCATAGGCCAAGATAGCAGGGGAGGTGGAGGCCTCATCTGGGGGAGAGAGCCTATATACATGTGCCCGGACCCATGCAGCGGGTTATGTGGTGGCACAGGTTGGCATTACTGCGCTTACTGGAGTTGTGTCTCATGGGCTACTTGGCAGAAAGCAGGGTACTCAGCTCTCCTCCACAAGGGAACACCTACACCTGACTGTATGCTTTGCAATTATAATCCTGTAAATTTTACTATACTTAAGCCCCCAGATTGGGAACAGGGATGTGTGGTCAGTGTAAAGATAAATGGAAAGGGGTATTATCCCAGGACCCTACTGCACTCAAGTTAGTGACTATCAACCATGAGAGTTCCTCTTACCAAGTCTTTCATTCCTTTTATGAGGACATAAAAAATGAGTTCCCTATATCTGACAAGACCAAAAACTTGTTCCTCTCATTGGATGAGTCTATAGCCCAGACACTGAATGTTACTTCTTGCTATGTTTGTGGGAGAACCAACATGGGAGACCACTGGCCATGGGAAGCAAGGGAACTAGTCTCATGGTCTCTGCCCTTTGATGAGGCCGCCTTCCCCAATCACAGGAAAAGCATCTGGCTCCTAAAAACTTCTATCATTTGGAATTACTGTGTCTCCCACCCAAAAGGCTGGTTCTCTACCCTGGTAGGAGATTTAACTTGTTTAGGACAGAAGTTCTACAATGACACTACCCAAGAGACCCAATGATGGGGAGCTCCAAACCACACAGAACCCCAGCCCCACCCACCAGTAAACTTTTCCAATCTCCGGAAAGCTTGGGACAATCTTACTGCAAAAATAGATTGTGGGTGCCCAGGAAGCTATATTGGATTTGTGGGAAGCAAACTTATACAGTGCTACCCAGCAGTTAGTTTGGGTCTTGCGTATGAGGCTCGATCAGGCCATCCTTCTTGCTTCCCCTTAAACAAGGTGAAAAATTAGTAGTCCCCATATATGAAGAAAAATTAAGTAGACAAAAAAAGGGTACCTTACAAATTGGCAATTGGAAAGATAACGAATGGCCTCCCAAGTGAATCATCCTGTACTATGGTCCCGCCAATTACACAGAGGATGGGTCCTGGGGCTATTGCACCCCTATATACATATATGCTCAACTGCATCATAGGCTGCAGGCTATTGTTGAAATTATAACTAATGAACCTACAAGAACTCTCGATTTGCTGGCAAAACAAAGCAATAAGATGCAAAATACCATCTATCAGAACTGCTCGGCCTTAGACTATATGCTTGCTTCTGAAGGAGGAGTTTGTGGAAAATTTAACCTAAGCAACTGCTACTTACAGATAGATGATGAAGGAAAAATAATAGAAGAAATCACAGACCGAATGAGAAAATTTGCCCACATCCCAGTCCAGACTTGGAAAGGGTGGAACCCCAGAGAATTACTTGGAGGATGGTTTTCAACTTTTGGAGGATTTAAAACCCTCATAAGTATTATGCTTTTGATTTTAGGGGCTTACCTGGTTTTGTCCTGCCTGCTCCTGATTGTAAGGTCTGTCTCCAGGCTCACCATGGCCACAGTTGAAAGAAAAAATGCCTCTCATGGAATGATGCTATGGAAATATAAACCCCTAAATCAAGATGATGCCCTCTGACCCTAGGTGGGTCCAAGAATCAAAGCGGGGAATAATGTAGCAGAGAGGAGGACCAGAAGAGACAGGGCTGTGATCTGATAAAGTAGCAGGGAGTAGGGATGGCATAGCAGAGAGATAAAACCTAAAGAATCCAAATGTGAAGAAGGTCACACAGCACTAAGAGTAGAAGGGCACTAACACTAGGGTAAAGTAGCCTATAGAATTGCATATAACCATATATAGGTTAAACCTTGTTTTTTTAAATTTTATTGCCTCTGTAACCTGCTTGCAAGGGTACATAAGGTGAGAGGGAGACCCCTTTGTTCTCGGTGTTCAGCCTTTGGATATGAGTTCACTGAGTCTGTGTCGGCACAATAAAGCATTGCTTCCCTGCCTCAGAGTCCCATGTCTCTGTTCGAGTTTCCCCTAACACTGGAAGTGTAAGCAGACCACTCTCTGCCCCAGGACATCAGCAGTTAAATGACACTAGGTGAAAATTAAACTCTGTCTCCACAGCTCTCCCTGGGGTAGTTTGGATGAAGGCTTGGAGCCAGACTCCATGGATATAAGCTGCACTTCTGCCTGAGCAGTTACTTAAATCATTTTGTGCCTCATTTTCCTCATCTCCAAAGTGGGGATGAAAAAAGAAGCTCCTCTCAAGGGCTGGAAGATACTCAGAGCAATACTGCAAGCTGGATCAGTGTTTATCAGCAGTCTTCCTTCACTGGTGCATCTGAACTTGACAGCAAATTGTGCAGGGTCTGCCTTATCTTGGCTTTGATACAAAACTGCCTTTAGCCAGATAATGTTGTGACATTTTCTGTTGGTGGCAAGTAAACGATGTCCTGCAAAGCTTGCCACGCATGGTCACTGATACATGAAAACCAGAGCCCATACAGGTTGTGGTGGTCTAGTCTGGGACATCATTGGATAAATGGATATAATGACACTTTGCAGTGGGGGCTTCCTGATCATGAGCTGGTCTGTCTTCCTAGGAGGTCTGGCTAATAGGGTTATCAAAAACCCTCTGCCAAGTAAACTTTTGTGTCTGTACTTCTCCTAAGAGATCTCCTGTCCATTTGGCTAAAAAAAAGTAGATAAGAGGACCAGGTGTGGTGGTTCACCACCTGCAATCCCAGCTACTTGGGAGGTGGAGATCAAAGGATCACAGCTCAAGGCCAACCTGGGCAAAAAGTTAGTGAGACCCCATCTCAACCAACAAGCTGGGCATGATAGTGCACACCTGTGATCTCAGCAATGTGGGAGGCATAGGCAGGAGGATCATAGTCTGAGTCCAGCCCCAGGCAAAAACACAAGACCCCATGGAGTTGTGTTGGGGGAAGGGGGGCAAAAACTAAAACAAAAAAAAAAAAAAGCTGGGAGTATGGTTCAAGGGGTAGAGTTCCCACCTAGCAAGCATGAGGCCCTGAGCTCAAACCCCAATAGTCCCCCCACCCCCCCACACACAAACCCACTAAGGCCCAAATGCTAATTAGAAGTTACCCCTTTAGAAAGCTGGCAATGAAAGCATTCTAAATTCTCCTTTCTCCTCAAACCTCCAACACTGGACTAAAAGCCAGTTCTTTAAAAGCTGGGAACCAAACAACAGTTCCATGGACAATGGCTAGGAGGTAAGCCATTCCCAGAGAATGGCTGAAGCGTTTTTCCTGTTACCTTGGTAACCGCTACCTTGGCGCCCTTGTTGATAAGTTGAACCACATTCTCTGCTTGGCCTTTGTACGCAGCTATGAGAAGGCGTTCTGAAAGCGCAGCGACCGCATCCTGCTGGCTCATGAATTAGGAGAGAAAGGTTTTCAGGAAAGTAGTGGGCGTTCCTTCAGCTCAACGCAAAGCCACTGGCTGCGCTGGCACCCCAAGGTAAGGATGTTCACAGAGGAGGGTGTCTTTGTCACTATGCCATCTTCAGGACCTAGAGGTTACAAAACAAAGTTCCCATCAGGGCCACTCACCACAAGGACAGGTCACGTCAATCCTCTGACTTTAGGGCATTCTGCTGGCTGCACACTGGGTCCTCGGGGAGAGGACCCAGAGAGATGGGACACACAGAAGCATGCTCTCCACAGTGAAGCCCCTGAACACAACTTTGGGCGGAAGGCAGCAGAATGTGCCAACCTCCTTGCTTCCCTCCTCAGGGTCATGGCTCTGCATTTCTGGCCTGGGTAGAAGAGGCCTAGTGTAATTTCCAACACCACCAGCAGCAGGGAACTGTACTATGCATGATCACCCATGGCCTCTGGGCCAGGTTTTGAGGGTCCACCAAGGCTAACCTGCTGAGTGTCCCTGGCAGATTGGGTGTGGGTGGACAACACCCCAAATAGACTCTGACAGGTGGGGTCTCTCCTTGGGGTTTTCCCCCAGCATTTATTGCAGTCCTCTTCTTTCATCCTTTACTCTGTAAATAATGCAGTTTTCTGAGTTCTGGAACAGATGGAGAGCTGGGCACAGGCCTGGGCGACTCCTGGTTCCAAACTGCTGAAGCAATGCACCTTGAAAACAACATGGCTGCTAAACACTGAGCACTCCCTGCCAATGTGGGAGAGACTCGCCATGTGGCTTCCTTGCTTAATGGGAAGGAAATAAATAGCCCACTAAGACCACAGGACACTAAGTTTTGATTCTGAGCAGTGGTCAGTCTGGAGGTAGCAACTCATGGTAAACTTAAGCTGTCCTTTCCACTAAATGAACTTTAAATATTCCTCTCTAATGTCTTTGGCTCACAATTAGACCAAACCAAAGCCACTGTTTATTATTTCAAAGGTGGAGCATTCCATGGACAGAGAAGGAATGTTTAAAGATCTAATACAGGCTGGAGATACAGCTCAATGGTATAATACTTGCCTAGCATGCACAATGCCCTGGGTTCAATTCCCCAGCATTGAAAAAACAAAACAAAACAAAACACCAGGCATGGTGGCACATGACTGTATTTCCAGCACTAGGGAGGCTAAGATAGGAGGATTGTGAATGTGAGGCCAGAGAACCAAGCTACAGAGCAAGTTTCAAGGCCAGTCTGAGCTATACATAGCAAAACCCTGCAAGGAAGGGAAGGACTGAGGGAGGGAGGGGACATAATTCACTATGGATAAAACAAAGTAAGACTTCTTTTTATTTTAAAATGTACATATTAAAATACCAATGTAGAACTGGCATGGTAGCACACGTCTGTGATCCCAGTTATTCAGGAGGCAGAAGCAGGAGGATCATGGTCCAATAGATTATGATATATGTACTATTTATATATATTATTATATATAATATATATATAAATATATACATATTATTATAAAAAAACAGATTTTTTGCCTGGGCAAAAAGAGTAAGATCCTATGCAAAAAGCAAACTAAAAGCAAAAGGACATGGCTTAAGTATTGCCATACTTATTAGCAAGCATGAGGCTCTGAGTTCCAACCCCAGTACTCCAAAAACAAAACAAAACAAAACAAAAAACCCTACAATATATAGAAAGAAAATGCTGTCTCTAAGGTATACCATTCTTTGACCCCGACCCTACCATACATTCTAATTTTGAAGATCTAGAAGATATGAGCTTCTTTTACAGTTGCTTCTAGGCAAACTCACTGATTCAGTCAATCTCTGAAGACTAAGGAATTGGCCATGATACGGCTGGGAACAGTCTGAACCATATTGGACTCCAGTAGCTCATGTGATCAACCACTCTGGGAGACGGGTTTAAATGCCCATGTATGGGGCAGACATAGAGCATCTTCTCCCAGGACTACAGTGAGGACTGGAAGTGGTGTCTCATCATAGGAAGTATGGCTATCTATAAAGACTGTAATTTTACAAAGATAATCTTACCCCTCCAACTTATTTATTATCACATTTTCTTATTGGTCTCCATCTGCTGCTCAAAATGTGGTAAAGGATAACAAGAAAAGAGAGAATAGGGGCTGGCTGGAGTGGCTCAAGTGGTAGAGCACCTGCTTAGCAAGCTTGACGCCCTGAGTTCAAACCCCAATACCACCAAAAAAAAAAAAAGAGAGAAAGTAAGAGAATAAATTCTGGCAAACCCATTATATTCCCACTCACCAGGCTCACTACAAACACTGACAAATATAAGAGAGGGAGAGAGAAAGAGGGAGAGAGAGAGATGAGATGAGATAGAATTGAACCAGGGCCACTCACATGCTAGGCAAGTACATACCACTGAGTTACATCCCCAGCCAAGAAAAAAAAATTTTTTTAGGTGGGGCTAGGGTTTGAACTCAGGGTTTTGCACTTGCAAAACAGGGGTTCTATTGCTTGAGCCATATCATCAGTCCATTTTCCTCTGATTATTTTGAATATGGGTCTCATGAACTACTTGTCCAGGCTGGCCTTGAACCTCGAGCCTCCCAATCTCACCCTCCCAAGTAGCTAGGATTACAGGCATGAGCCATCATCACCCACTTTAGAAATATTTCTTGAATGAAACAATGAAACAATAAAATTGAAACTCAAAGCACTGAGAGAAATGCCCTTGGGAATTCCCAAAGCTATGGGGAATGACTTTGGCTTGGGCTTCATGCTCCCCGCACTGTGACACAATTTGAATGTGATCTGTCTTTATCTACTTAGGATATACTATCTCTTTTTATTCAGGTAATCTGCAGTACATTCAAAGCAATTACATGGGTTTCTCTTTCTTTGCCCAGATACTGCAAAATCACTCCAGACCCAAATGCAGGAAAATACCCAGTACTAACCATGACTTCCTAAATGGCCTTCCTCTCACAAACACATTCTTCCCCATCATCTACTCATTTGTTGTCTCTGTACACTCAACCTTACCCGTACCCATTCCAATCCAAAACCTTGCTTACAATGTATTTGAGTCCAGGATAATGGCCCAGCTCATACAAACACTGTCATCATGACCAGAATTCTCCTTCACAGTTTAGCTCCTAGGGCTACAGATCTCTCCTGCAACTTTGGCACAGGCCATCAGCTGAGGTCATGAGCTCTACGCCAACAGCTGCCCAGCCTCCTCAGCAATGGATGCAACCCAACCAGCTTCTGGTAAACTGATAGCCACTCCCCTTCGGCCTCCTGTCTCATGTAATGAATCCAGCTCTCAGACACTGAGACTAAAGCCCGAGCTGCATGCTGAGATAGTCTTGCTTAGATAATTACTATTGTTAAACAACCCTTTGGAAGTCCAGCCTCTGACTGGCTTTTTGTCTGTCTGCTTAACAGTAAAATACTACCGTGATGAGAAAATGTTGGCCATATAGCAATGTCATTTCATTTTTCGCTTTGCAGTTACAGCTACTTAAGAATGCTCTTTACCCCCACCATACAATCAATACCCCCACAGACTAGTTTCCAGGCCAGGCTACTCACACGGGATCTTGGACACCCCACTGCCCACACGACTGCACAGAAAACTGCCCGCAAGATCAGGCAGGTTTCCAACTCCTGTCTGCTGCTAACACTATCCCTGTACACTTAGACATCTCAAGCTTATCCTCAATTTTAGTCCAGTGACAGTGTCACTGTTAAGGCCACCAGCATTCACCTGCAGAAGCATTTACACACAGTGTAGGGATCGCAGTGGCGTGGTCTTCTTTTCTGCTTCCTGTTTCCACCAGTACCCTCACTTGGAGTGGGACAATACTCTGCTTATTATCTGATGCCTAGGGACCAGCAAATCAGGCCGGGTAGAGGCAGAAGCGGGGAGAGATGAGAGACAGAGAACCAACTATGACTGGAGAGGGGAGGGGAAAACAAAGGTGGTGATCAGTCTACTGGCAATGAGTTAACTTTACAGCCAACCTGTTGGGTAACCTGGCCAGCTGCCGCAGCCCCATTCCCTCATTCAACCCGAGCTTCCTCTTCCAAGTGGACAGCTATCACTGAAGACATTTCCTACAGCTGGCCGTGAGGAATTTCTTCTGCCCCATGCCTAGCAATCACATTCGTCTTTGTTACAATGCTCATTTTTCACAGTGTTCTGGACGAAAACCTTACATGTAAACATGCTGTCTGTTCTTTAGTCAGAAAGGAAATAAATACATGAGCATAAGTATGCAATGGGCACACTGCATCCAGAAAGGGATTTAGCTTCTAAGAAAGATTTCCTTCCTTTCTCCAAGCCACCAGCCCCATTTTCACTGTTCTCCAATCTGCCAGTTCTTTTGTCTTTCATCACAAATGCCAGAGGGTCACACAGCTGCTTGGTTTGTGGTGTGATAGGTTTTAACAGCAAAAGGTCTATGAATGAGGTTTGTATTCACTGTTTTCTTATTGATTTACAAGTGCCAATACTACAATATATTCAATCTCCTCCAGGCAAAATAGTCTAGATGAGACCTTCAAACAAAAGTCCCAGCCAGACATTATGTACAGCCCACACAGAGATGGCCCACAGGAGCCAGGAGGTAGACAGCACCAGCAGCTATAATAACCAGCTCTTCTCCCACTGCTCCAAACCCTAGAAAGAGATTTTACTCACATCTGGGGGTCTGTCTTTCCTGTTCTACATCGTGTTCTCTTTCTGGATAACTGCAGTCAATTCTTTCCCGGCGAGATCAGTAGCTTCCTAGGACCATCACTCCCAATGGGTCTGCAGTGATTTACGGTGCAATGCTTGCAGGCTTTTTTCCCTTTAGCCTCCTCAGCCAATGCCAGCCACATCACATCTGAAAGCTTATTAAGACATCCATTCAGCTAGCACCGTTTTGTGGCTTGCCAGTCTGCTCATCACCGCTCCTCAAAGTGTTGGGTCTTCAGGTTTTGTCGGACTGCTTGCTCCCTCCTGCTGGAAGAGGACC